GGAGTAGGAGTAGGAGTAGGAGTAGGAGTAGGAGTAGGAGTAGTGGTGGTAGTAGTAGTAGTAGTAGTAGTAGTAGTAGTAGCAGTAGCAGTAGCAGTAGTAGTAGTAGTAGTAGTAGTAGCAGTAGCAGTCGTGGTAGTCGTAGTAGTAGTGGCAGTAGTAGCAGTAGCAGTAGCAGTGGCACCTGGTACGTAGTAGTGGTTTTTGTGGTTGTTGTTGTTGTTGTCGCTGTTGCCGTTTCGTCGCCTGAGTCTGAGCACGAGCGTTGACGAACAGTTGCCACTCGTAGCGGGCCTTCTTGAGTGTGAATGGCACGGCCGCTTTCTGAAGACTTTTTTCAAAAGACTTCACCTGGGAGGACGTTTCTTTCAAGGTGTTGGTTGCACAGCCGTCCGCTATGCTGAATCCCGAGATCCTGAGCTCTGACAGCTAAGCCGAAAGCCCCAAGCTTGACGACTTACCAGCTTATCTGCCTACCGTGATGCTTGGGAGTGTCTGAGAGAATTGTCATGGGCTTCCGACTGTGGTAGACACTGAGACCCCTGAACTTGAGGTGAATCCTGTGAACACCGGGCCATACCTACCTGTGGACGTTGTTGTAAATGTTGTGCCTCCCGAAAACCTCCCCCGAGCCCGGCGAGTGTCAGCGCCCAAATAGCTTGACGACCTCGGACGCACATCGAAGACGCCCCAATAAAGCAGTCGAAAACTTCGTTTGCTCAGGAGTTTGACAGCCTGGTTTTCGAAGGCACGTCTTGGATTGCTTATCTCGATGAGCGAGGCCTAGGCCCTGGGGCCTAGGCCTAGGCATCAGGAGAGAGTGATGGGTGGCGGTCGGAGACCCCAAGTGCAGTGATGGTGGGCGAACCATACACCCTACTAGGAGTGGTGGATAGGGAGCAATAAAACCACCAAACGTCCAGATGCTAACCCGAATCCCGAAGCCCTAGCTCGTTTAGGCGCTTGTTTTTCTTTTCAGGCTTCGAGACCTGCTCCGACCCATCGTTGCCGGCGGACGTGAGGGTGCGGTGCGACACAGTTTTGGGCGGCTTGCTTCGAGGATTGCCTACAGCGTTGCACGGACAAAGCCTCCATTTGGCTTGAAGGGCTTAGGGCCTAGGACGGGCTCCTCAACCCAGATTGTCCAAGCTCTTCCGTCTTTAAGTTAAGCCACCCTCCGGCTGACGTCAGAGCAACCCGGACCCTTACGAACCCAACAACCAAACCAGAGCTTGTCAGTCCATGCAATGCTGTCAGCCGCCTTTCTCGTTGCCGGGCTTGAATGCTGGAAGGCAGACGGAGACGGTGTTTGTTGAAAGCCTTCAGTTGCAAGGTCTGGTAGCAGAAATGAGGAGTTGCTTTGGGTCTCTGAAAATGTGGATATGTAGGGGGCAGAACCTGCTGCTTGGGCCTTTGATTGCCGAGGATAAGAGGAACATGCTCTGCATAAGAGGCCTTGCTTAACCGACCACCCTACCAGCACAGGGACTTCTCGCAGAGCTCCCGCAAGCACGAGCACACGTAGAGTGCCCAGACATGCAGATAAAGAACTGGGGGAGGTTCGAGCGCTGTCCTGCAAGTCGCATAAACCTGAGCCATGTTCCGTGCTTCCGATATCTTCGGAAAGCGCTCTGGCAACAACTCTGATTCCTTGCGAGAGAAGGCAGGGTAACACAGTTGACGATTTCGAGCTCTTGCTATCATGCGGTCTTTATTACAATGTTTATCTTGTGTTACAAGTTATAATGTATTGAGGCTCAGGAAGGCTTGCGCATGCTGTCAGGCACCACGTTGCTCTTGCTTCAAGGAAGGCTCTTCTTCGTGCCTTTGCCACACACTTCAATGTGCATGTATCATGTGCATGTGCTGTATGTTTGAACATCATGCATTTATACAGGTCCCCGGAGGTCGAGGAGGGTCAGGAACCGCTAGGTTTCGAGAAGCCTCAGGCAGTTGGAGTGCAGTGCTTGGTGGAGCTAGGTTAAGTCTTGATGGGCCTACCCAAATCCCGAGGTCGTGCAGCGGCCTCGTTGCTAGGACGACCCCCAGCCTGAAAGCCCTCATCCCATTCTTCCCGCTAAACTAGATCGCGGAGCCTGCGGCGTAGCTTTGAAGTCAACGGTGCAGCCCAAGCAACCTTAACGCACACAATCTTGAAATCCGCCCCGCCCTGTGTTGAGGCGCGGGCACAGACTGAAAATGCCGGGGAGAAGCTGGGCGGGAGGGTTTGTTGATCTCTGTGGGGCTCGTCAGATGCCCGAGGCTTTTCGTAGTCTTTGCCAATCGGAAATCTGATGTAGCACTACTGCTTCCGGGCTGTAGAAGCAATCACGACGCGCGGCACTGTGTCCGTCTGAAACCCGGCGCCACACGTTTGGGCGTTTATTTGTCTTCAGGCTTTGAACTGTGATCAGACATATCATTCATGAGTGCATCTACGAGCTTGCAGAGTCGCGCCCCCCTCACAACGCGAACCAGACGCATTCATCACGGTCTCCCACGCGAAAGAGCATAACGATCGACACGAAACTCATCAGAGCCCAGGAAACGGCCTGCAGATGCGGGGCCCACCACGCGGACTTGGGCAGCTCGGATGTCTCACTCCCGTCAAGGGTTGAAGCCTGGGCATGGAGCAAGCCTTGCCGGCTTCACAACGTGGGCCTCGATTTTCGAGTTTTTGTTTTTTGGGTGCTGTCGAGATTCGGGGTTGGACTGAAGCTCCAGACCCCGAAACTTATCCAGATCCGAGCCCTGCGATCAAAACTGCCTTCGGGAGCTTGGATGTCCACGAGCAAAAGCAATCTAGCTAGGGTCTGATTTTAGACAGGAATCCGACGGTCAAACTCCGAAGCGCAACACCATGAGTTCCAATTGCTGAACCGCCACATCTGAACCCCAAGACCTTAGCTCTTCAGGACCCCGCTACAGGCGAGATGGTCGACGAAGAGCTGCCGGAGGAGCCTCAGCGAAGCAGTGTTGCAGATGCTTCAGGGAGATGTAGTAACAAGCCCTCGGGATGTGCAGAAACGCAGAATCCGTAGACTTTCATGCCCGAGGACCGCGCTGCCACACCATTCAATCCCCCTCTTCGACCTTCGCAGAACCCCGCTGAAACCTGAGCCCAGGAAATCCAAGAGATGATGGGCTTAGTCAAGAAGCCCAAGGTAGAGCAGCCCCAAACCAGGCTGCTGGGAAGCTATGCTGTGGTAGTTGAGTGACTTTCAGGGCTCAGGAAGTCTGGGGCCAGGGCTCCATGGTGTGACCCCTTTTTGGGGAAGAGCAATTCGGCAGTCACCAGTTCAATGAACTAGTCTGAGGTCCAGGCAGTTTGCGGTTTAGGGTTTAGGGCCCCTAAACCCTTTTGCAAAGTGGAAGCGCGCAGGCCAGGGTTTTGGAATGTCCGAGCTGATCTGATCAATTTCTCTTACATGCAAGGTATCGGAAATTTGTTAGGGTTTAGAAGCTGAATTAAAAGGTCAAAGAAGCTTGTTCGGTTTAGTGTTTTCGGAAACTAGAACCCAGAAGTTTGAGGGTCGAATTGTGTGAATGTGCGAGTCATGGTGTATCACCAGGAAGCTCAAGGTTTAGCAAGTTCAGGGTTGAAGAGGTTTGGATTTCAGGAAGTTGAGGGTCCCAATGTTTGGGGTTTAGGCTTTGGGTTTACACGCGCTTAAACTTGACAAGGGTATCTTTTTGGTTTTAGCTACCTGACTAACAATCTGCAGTTGCGAATGGAAGTTTAGGTGTTTTTTGGTTGAATTTTGAACGGAAGTTTCGTGCATAAGAACTGTGAGGTTCAGCGTTTGGATTGTTCTGGGTTTGGGCGGCCCTCGAGGGCTGTCGTGGTTGATGGGGAAAGCGCTAAGGGATCCAACATCTTCGGGTGAGGGAAGCTGATGAAGACATTTCAGTCTTCGTGTTCAAAATACCCAGCAGTCGTTTAAGATGTTCAGGTTCGGGGCCTGGGATGTCTCAGGTTCGTCTCAGCCATTGTGTGGAGTGTTTAGGGCTGATGGGGTTTAGTGCAGAAGGTTCTAGGTCTTGGTGCTTGTCAGGCTTAGGCCTCAGCAATGTTGGGGTTCCGCACGTAGGCTGTATGCACGGTGTACTGCCGCGGAATGTTTGGGCTTGATAGTTTATACGTTTTCGGAAGTTGAAGTTTGTAGAAGATTGACGGTGTAAAAAATTCAAGATGAAAGGTTTAGCAATGCTAGGGTTTGAGCCTTGTTGCAGTTTGGACGTACGACGCATCGGACTTAGGGTTTGCAAGCTGTGCAGGCTTCGTGGTGGTGGAGCATTCAGGGTTGGTGAGGTTGAGAGCGTGCGAAGATTAGTGCGTTGGAAGTGTAGGGCTGCAGGCTTGAAGTCTAATGGGTTTGCGAAGTGTGGGCTTCGCGATAAATGCTGTTAGGCGCTTTTGTTGCGGTTCAAGCGGTAGGAAGGTAGGAGGTTCAAAGATTGGGAAGGTTAGAAGTACTTGCGAAGCTGGGGCGTCAGAAGTTAAGTGAAGTTCAGGTTTGAGGGCTTGAGAAGTTGAGTAAGAGGTTTGGGGCTGAGGAATGTAAGGGTTCGCACGCCGCGTGCCATAAGTTCAGGGCTTAAGAGGTCACGGTTTAGGGTTCAAGATATTTCGAGGAGGTGGAGAGTTGAAGATTCAGACTGTGCAGGCTTCAAGAACCTTAGGGTCCAGGGTCGAAGCTTTTGAGCTTGGGCTAGGAAGTTGGGGGTTGCGGCGTCGGAAGATTTGGGGTTAACATGTTGAGGGCTCGCTTGTGGGCTGCAGAACTGCAGGGCTTGAGATGTAGAATTCATGCAGGGCTTAAGAAGACGTTGAGTTTCGGGCCTAGCAAGAAAAAACAGGGAGTGGGCTCAGGGGTTGTAGATCTTCGGAGTTTATGAAGTTGAAAAGGTAAGCAGTTGACACCTGAAGCTGAAGAAGGATTGCGTTTGTTTCTCAATTGCATTGGTCAACCTGCGAATCTTTTCAAAACAGAAGGCAACCACCAGATGTGGTAGGCTTCTGTGTACAGCTAGGCCTACCGTTGAGCCCCGGCTGTGCAAGCACTATGTCATCTGCAATGTTGGGAACCAGCCCAGACTTTTCTCCTGCTTTTGCGCCCGAGTATTAGAAGCCTCAACCAGACAACCCAAGCTCTGCCTAGAACCGACGCCCTGCCAGACCGCAGCGGCCCGCACCGGCTTATGCGCCTCCAGTGCGACAGAGGCCGCCGCAGTGGTCACCACAGCCACACCCGCAGAGCCGGTTGCCGCTGGGCGTTTCTCGTTTCTGTCGATCCATTGAAAATGGGACGGGCTGGCATTCACGGAAGAATAAAAAAAGATTGCGAAGCCGAACCAAGCCGGAGCCAATCCCAACCCATCAATTCAACGCCCTCAAAGTCGAAACCACAGTTAATGCCTGTGAAATCTCGCTTCGCCAGGCACCAAAATCCGTATGCCACGCGGCCCTGACTAAGCCCTTCACACGCGCCGAGGCCTCCGATGCCTCCCGCGCCCCCACCCCCACCGCCGGCGTGGGTGCCGGGCACGATGCGGCCAGCGGAGCCCGCACAGCCTCCGAGACCACAGGGCCCACCAGCGCTGAAGGCTGGAAGTGCCATGAGACTTAAGGATGTACTGTGCCGTTGGTGTGGTACAGCCGTCCGGCCGTAGTTTTTCGCAACTTATATTAGGAGCGCTTGAGGTCTTGTGTTCTGAGCCCTGTTTTCGGCCTTGGGTTTGCCTGTGTACGGCTCCTTTCGTAGAGCTTAAGGGTAATGGTTCAGCCTGCATCGCCAGGTCACTATGGGAGGCTTTCGCAAGCCGGAGCTTAACGGATGCTCTGCAGCACAAGAGGTCTTCGGAACTGGGGCTTCAGGCCGCTTGCGTAAGGGCTTCAGAGCTGCAGGGTTGCTGTTCGCATTGGGGACGTCGGAATGGCAAGTGTTGGCTGATACTCTCAACTTTGAAGCACTCGACGCCCAGCCCGACTTGTCACGCTACAAATCCCAAGCACGGCCCTGCCAGGATACTACTCCGAGCGCCCAGAGCAGGAGATCCAGGGCCGTGCCAGCTTCTGGACACCCAACCAGGCCTACTTTATTTACTGGTGCCTCGACGAAACCTGGGACAGTTCTGAAGCACTGACCCCTTGACCCTGGCTCTACCTTTTGGGATTTGCAGACTCGATTGTCCAAGATGCTTCTCGCGTCCAAGGCAGCGGAGCCTCAAACGCTGGGCAATTTGCGACGCCGGGAGCCTCCTCGCTGCCAGGGGTGGCTCGAACCCAGGATGGGCGCAGCTCAGCGTTGAAGTGGCAGCAAAGCCATCACTGGACTTGCTGCAGCCTCGGCTGTCTGCTAGAGTTCTGACCTGGCAAACGAAGCCCGCCAAGAGACCACAAACCTTGAAGTCACAGCTTTAAGCCAGTGGTTGAAGCATTAAATAAAGAGTACACATCGCAAACGCTTCGAAAAGAGCCTTCTGAAGGTTCGAGGTATAACTCCGAAGCCACCTGTAGGCTACGCGGAGCTCCGATCTTTACCCATGAGGTTTAGGTCTAGGTGTGAATGCACGGTTACTGCAAAAAGAGCCCCTCTTGTATGCACGCTTATGCATCAACCTCTCCACAAGCCGCTGAGGTACCGGAGTGACGCACGCCACTTCGCCAAGGCGCCGGGCCCAAATGTAGCGGCAGTGTCGGGGCTTCGGCTGACGCTGCAGGCAAAGATTACAGCTACGGTGGTACTGCCGGGCTTGTCCACTTAGGTTACTGTTCCAAACTCTTCAACCCTACTTCACCTCGGCAGGCCAACGATGGCTGGATCGAGGCTGTCGGGACAGAGTGGCAGACTGCGGATGTGCGCTGCACGGTACTGGAGGGCAGCATCCGCGACGACAGCCGCCTGGAAGCCTGTGAAGTCGTGAAGGGGCAGGGGGTTTCAGGGAGACGAATCGACTTGCCAAGGGATCTTCCGGCAAAAGCAAAAGCCGTTGATAGCAGGTTTGGTTTCAATGCAGCGAAGTTTTCGGGCTCGCCTGCATCATGGCTCTATGGGCTAGAGTGTCCTACCCATTGCTGGCCCTTTGACTTAGCTTGCACACTATTCCTCCTTAAGGTTTCAAGTTTCCGGCTCTTGGGTGAAATCTGCCGTTTGAGGAGTCTTGTTCAACTGCAGCAGGCTATTCGGCCCTACAGCTTCACCAGCCGGGCACCACAGCCGAGGCTTTGCAGATGAGGAGGTGCCGAACACACTGAAAGTGAAGTTCACCGGCTTCCAAAAGCAGGACTAGCAGTGCATTGCTTTAGGCTTGAATCTATGGGGCTGGACTCCAGAATCCCTTGCTTCATTGCGGCTCTGTCGCAGGAGGAGGAGTTGGGAACCTTCAATGATTTGCCTGAGCCTTGTAATGCCCTGTGTCTCAGAACAGGAGCTGAACACCACCTTCGAGGAGCGGGCAGAGGAAATGATCCAAGGGAAGGCCAGCTTAGAAAAGCTGTTAGCAAAGAGGAGATACGTTCGTTTAGGCACAAGCTATGCATGGAAAGGCCTCCAGCTTGAGAGAATCACTAAGTGAGCCGTGTCTTGAGTTGCACCACAAAAGTGGTCGCGTCCGGAAATTCAGTATGTTTTAGGAATAAATACTTTCTGGTTTCGGTTCGGGCTGCGAGGCAATCCAGCACACTAATCCAGCACTTGGCCGCTCGATCCTTACTGTCTTCACCCTCGCGGCTAAACCCGCCCAATCACCCGAAGCTTAGCAAGTGCTCGCACTGTCACCGCCCTGAATGAGGCCAGCCTCTGGGATCCAACAAAGTCGATGTCCCTCGGCCCCGGCATAGAATTTCTGTACTTGAGCACACGTGATCCTTTACCGCCTGCTAAGGTTCCTTTACTGGCAGAGGGCCTTCAGCAGGCCAGACCTTCTGCAGGGCCGACGCAAGCCATGGAAAACACAACCTTCGTAAAATTTCTCAAGACTCAGCATGGCATAGCTGGCATAGCACATCGAAAAGCCCCCGACAATTCTGCAGATGGGCTTTGTGCGGTGGAAGCAGTCTCAGCTCTGCGAAGAGCGGGATGGCACCGGGCTGGGCTTACCGCAACGACGCCCGTTTGGAGATTCGTGAGTTTCGTGAGGTTGAGGGCCCATACTTCCACAGGGGATGCCTTTTGGACACCCTTCGAAGAGCTGATGGGCCCCATCCTGACCGAAGCCGAGGATTCAAAGCATTTCGGGGAGGCAGCTGGAGGTTGGATGGAGTATCGGCAACCTGGGCTTCTTTTGAGTTGGTCACTCAGTGATCCTATCGTTGTGTGTTTCTTTTCGAAAACTCCGAGTGCAGGCTCCTGGCCTGAGGATTTCAGATGAAGGATCAGGCAGGTTTTGGGAGACCTGGTGGGGTTCTGGATCCAAGCAGGCTTAAGATCTTAGAGGGTTTAATCTGGAGCTATGTATGCTGAGAGAGGGGGTGACTGAGCTGTGCTTCCGTTGCAAGTTAGGGCTAGGCTTGGCTTTTGCTTTCAGGAGTTGAATCAAACCCCGAAGCCTTGAAACCTTGCAGCAAAATCAAATCAGCGAGATTCAACGGGAAACTCTAGCTGTTGAGCCTAGCCATCCAAAATTGCAAGCCGAAACAACTCTTCGAATATTGCGTGAAGGTTTCTAGGAGACAATTTGCACAGAAAAGCTGGGCGCTTTGGGATTCGTGGGACCAAAGTAAAGTACTGAACCTTCCTGCAGCCCAGGGATTCGCAGTGGCAGCCAGCCACGTGGTGGATTTGGGAGCCCGAAGCCCCTAAAGAACACGACCTGAACTTAACCCCCCACCCAACATCCTAAAGCCCATGTATCAATTCTGAACCTCTTAAAGCCTTAGTCCGAAGGCTCTTAGCCACGAACCTGGGCTTCGTAACATGACTGAGCTCAGAAGCACCTCGCTGAGGCTGTTAGGGCTATTCCAGGGTGAAGTTGATGGCTCGTCTAGGGATGAAGTTTCAGGCAATCCCCGACTCTGGAGCCAGATGGGTGAATCATCTCCGGGTTGTGCATCGCTTCGGGCCCAAGCGGAAAGAAAAGGGGTGTAATAATCCTGGGCTTACACTACACGTTTCATGGGCTGCAAACCCCTTATGAGGATCCCTCGCGAAATTGACGTATTTCTATTTTGCTGGGATGAGTTTCGGTTCAGGTTAGCTAGCTGGATCGGACTCGGAGACGAAGGTGTCAAGACTTCTTTCGGAGAAGGGATTCGATTCGGGCGAAACTGTTGACCTCAACGTCGAAATCATTAGAAACCTAAGTAAGTCAAAATTCTCACAGGGGATAAAAGCGAACGGAGCCGATTACTCAAGCACCCTACGGCTGTCGGTATGCTACAATCCTGTAAACCCTAAAGCAATTTTTTACACCCTAAGCCCTAAACCCCTAGAGTCTAACCCCTCGCCAAAGAACCGCAGGCTTCGTTGTATCCACTCCTCACAGTAAGACCTTGTAGTGTTAGCGCTCGCAAGTGAAGCAAGAATCTGGAGCTGGAAAGCTCCTCAAGAACGGGGCGTTGATAATCAGGATAGGGTCTGGGGCACAGTATAGTATCGTATACGGTTTAGCATAGTTTGTCATAGCATGGCATAGCACTAGCATCGCATTGTATAGTGTAGAGTGCATGTTCGTGTAGAGTGTGTAGTATACGGCATAGGATATATGGTATGTGGTACAGGATAAAGTGTATGTGGTAACAAGGGTGTATCATGTAGTTAAGGTAAAGTACACAGTGTAGAGTATTGCATTTAGAGTAGAATTGCATAGTATAACAAATGAGGGACTACAAGGGGGACTACTTTTGTTTTGTATTTCGCAGTTGGCCGCATTGCTATGGTCTGCTTTGTTCCACCCTTGAAAACCCCAAAGTAAATGGGTTGCAGCTGTTGATACCACATCCAGGTAAGGATTAAGGACACTAGTCTGTGATTTCGATCCTGTAGAAGGGTACTGCGGATGACTGCAAGTAAAGCCACAAGCTCTATCTGTAGGGCCTCCTGTAGCAGTAAACCTCGCCTGACCTCGTCGAGTGCGAGCGCCAAAAAAGTTTCAACCCACCTCGCCGCCCTGTTGATCTGCAGACCCAGCACGCACGGAGTCCCAAAGCAAGGTAAGCAAAGCTACAGGTACCAATTTACCTGGGAATACTTGCGAAGACGCATGTACAAATACAACAAAGCCCAGTATAAGCGGCATGACAATCAGTATGCACAGAACGATAAATCAGGAGATGAACAGATAAACAAAGCAAGCGCACACACACACACACACA